CCCGCCCCTGCACAAGACGACAACCGAATGTTGACTATAAGCTGACCGTTGATTTGCAATCCCACTCACTGGCAGAGACCCTCATGCATACCGAACGATGCGCGCCATACCGTGCAAGTGCCTCCTGCATTCTTCGACAGATGGACGGGAAGGTCAAGCTCGGTCAGCACTGGCATCGTATCCGATGGTCCTCTTCCGTTGCTGCTGCTCCTGCTGCGTCTCCTGCTAAGGCCTCTCCAGCTGATCCTCCTTCTCCAATGTCCCACCCATCTCCCATCCCCCTCTCCCCCGGCCTCTACGCGATCCAGATGAAGACTAGAGTGGTTAGTTTGCCATGGCCAGCATGAATATGTTCGCATAGAGCATCTGGTTCACGAACGTTGATTCTCACGTTTCCGCTGTGGTGACCATTACCAATGCATGGTAAACCATTTACAGATAGGCGTGCGTTCGCAGACTTCAGCGTGGTCATGTGTGGTGCGTTGGCACCACTACAGCGCTGATAGCGCAACATGACAAGCTTCAGTTGTAAACCTCATCACATTCTGGGGTGACCAATTGGATGCTGTCGTTGGGCTACCGGGTGTAGAGTGCTAAAAGTCGCTGTCCATGTCGCCACAACGCCATGCTTTACTTGAGACAGGCCGCAAGCACAAGGAGCACATCGTTAAATCCAACAACAATGCGTGGTGTTGAATCGGAGTTGGAAACTGTCACATTCAAAGTGGTTCATGACCACCAGGTTTCCTCGACATGATGATTGCAAGTGAGATGGAGGAAGAGAAGATGGCGGAGGCGGAAGCAGAGGAGCAGAGAGAATAGGGGCAAGAACAATGGGCATGACCAGGAGGATTCAGAAAGGAAAAAAGTCGTACCCTGACCCAAAATGCCACAAGCACGTTCCCTCAAACGACCACCCTCACTCTGCAAGGGGACGGTTGGCATGAGGAGATGGAGCAGATGAGAAGGATGAGAAAAAGGAAGGGATGGGGAAGAGGCGGATAAGAAGGGATAGGAAATTTATGAAACAGCGAAGGACGAGGTGGAGAGGGAGCGTGAGACGCAAGTTCCTCAGTCTCGTAGCTCTTCATCATCTTGAAGAACTTGGCCATATCCTCCCGCAGCGCCCCCAAATCGTGGCACGACAACCCAAAATCCAACCACTCTGTATCTCAACCTTCGCATCCCCCCCCCTTCTTCTGCCACTTCTGCATCGCCCAATAACCAAAAAGGAGCACCGCCCCTGCATGTTAGTGCCTCCGCGCGGGCTGGAATTGCACGTGCGGTGCCACTCTCCAAAACTCGTGCGGTTGGGGAGGTGGCCGCTGCGTCCGGCCACCCCCAGACGCTGCCCCCCTGGGTGCGGTGCCCCTTCTGCGAAGTCCGGACCTTCCCCCGTGCTCCCTGTGCTGCCCGACTCCGCATCCAGTTCCGCCTCGCCTTCTGGCTCCACCGCCTCTTCTTCGTTCTCCTCACACCCACCCCTCACTCCTACCTTTAGGTCGGGCATGTCCTCCTAAAGGCGGATTTTGCAGGAACAATGACGAATAGCCTACGAATATTCATACAATGTTTTCTATGAAACGAAAAGCTAGCCTGGCGAAGGACCCAACCAAATGCAATTGTGAGTACCGCAGTTGTGGGTATCGTCTCCGGTGGAGCTCCCTATGGGGACACGAAGAGCTGTGCTGGGCGGGGGTGACGCACTGGGGCGTTCGCTGTGGTGCCACGAAGCGCTGCACTGGGCGGGGGAGACGCATGTGAACTGTTCCAATGGGGCCTCCTGTGGAGATCCCGAGGGGGCCTCGAAGCGCTGTACTGGGCGGGGGAGATGCATGTGAACTGTTCCACTGGGGCCTTCGGTGGACCTCTCTATTCGGCCACGGAACGCCGTGCTGGATAGGTGAGACGCATGTCCACACCGCCAATGGAGCCTTCGGTGGAGCTCCCTATGGGGCAACGAAGCGTTCTACTGGATGGGGAGACGCATGTGGACACCGCCGCTGGGGCCTTCGGTGGAGCTCTACATGGGGCCACGAAGCACTGCACTGGGTGGGGGAGACGTATATGGACACCGCCATTGGGGCCTTCTGTGGAGCTCCATATGGTACCACGGAACGCTGTGCTGGGTTGGGGAAATGAATGTGGACACACTGGGGCAATCGGTGGAGTTCCCAATGAGGCCAAGGAGCGCCGTGATGGGTGGGGGAGACGCACGTGGACACCGCCACTGGTGCCTCCGGTGGGGGGCCACGAAACGCTGTCGGTGGAGCACCCTGTGGGGCCCCGAAAACCAGTGCTTCGTGGGGGAGACGCATGTGGACACCGCCACTGAAGCCATCGGCGGAAGTCTCTGATGGGGCCACGAAGCGCTGCACTGGGTGGGTGAGACGCATGTGGACACCGCCACTGGGGGTTTCGGTGGGGCTCCCTATGGGGCCACGAAACGATGTGCTGGGTAGGGGAGACGCATGTGGACACCGCCACTGACGCATTCGGTGGAGTTCCCCATGGGGCCACGAAGCGCTGTGCTGGGTGGGGGGGACGCATGTGGACACCGCCACTGGGGCCTTCTGTGGAGCTGCCTATGGGGCCACGAAACGTTTTGCGGGGTGGGGGAGACGCACGTGGACACCGCCACTGGTGCATTCGGTGGAGCTCCCTATGGGGCCACGGAACGCTGTGCTGGGTGAGGGAGACGCATGTGGACACCGCCACTGGGGCCTTCGGTGGAGCTCCCTGTAGGGTTACGGAACGAAGTGTTGGGTGGGGGAGACGCATGTGGACACCGCCAGTGGGGCACTCCGTAGACCTGTGCTGGGCGGGGGAGACGCACGTGGACACCGCCACTGGGGCTTTCGGTGGAGCTCCCTTTGGGGCCACGAAACTGTGTGATGGGTGGGGGAAACGCAGCACCGTACTGGGTGGAGGAGACGCATGTGGACACCGCGACAGGGGCATCTGGTGGAGTTCCCTATGGAGCCACGCAACGCTGTGCTTGGTGGGGGAGACGCATGTGGACACGGCCACACGTGCATTCGGTGGCGCTCCCTATGGGGCCACGACACGTTGTGCTGGGTGGGGGAGACGCATGTGAACACCGCCACTGGGGCATTCGGTCGAGCTCCCTCTAGGGGCCACGAAACGATATGCTGGATTGGGGAAGCGCATGTGGACACCGCCGCTGGGGCCTTCGGTGGAGCTCCCTATGGGGCATTTGAACGCTGTGCTGGGTGGGGGGGGCGCATGTGGACACCGCCACTGGGGCTTTCGGTGGAGCTCCCTATGGGGCCACGAAACGCTATGTTGGGTGGGGGAAACGCATGTGGACACCGCATTTAATGGAGCCTTCGGTGGAGCTCCCTATAGGGGCCACGATACGTTTTGCTGGGTGGGGAAGACGAGTGGGGCTTTCGGTGGAACCCCTCATGGGGCCACGGGGCGCTGTGCTGGGTGGGGCAGACGCACGTGGACACCGCCACTGGGGCATTCGGTGAAGCCCCTTATGTGGCCACGGAATGCTGTGCTGGGTGAGGGAGGTGCACCGCAAACTGGGGCCTTCGGTGAACACTGTGCTGGGTGGGGGAGACGAATGTGGACACCGCCGCTGGGGCCTTCGGCCGGGTTCCCTTATGGGGCCACGAATCGCTGTGCTGTGTAGGGGGGGCGCATGTGGACACGGCCACTGGGGCATTCGGTGGAGCTGCGTATGGGCCCACGAAACGTTTTGCGGGGCTGGGGGGGCGCATGTGGACGCCGCCACTGGGGCATCCGGTTGAGCCCCATTGTGGGCCACGACACGCTGTGCTGGGTGGGGCAGACGCATGTGGACACCACCACTGGGGCATTCGGTGGAGCTCCCTATGGGGCAACTGAACGCTGTGCTGCATGGGGGAAACGCATGTGGACACCGCCATTGCGGCCTGGGGTGTAGTTCCCTATGGGGCCACTGAGCGTTGTGCTGGGTGCGGAGGGCCGCATGTGGACACCGCCATCGGTGCCTTCGGTGGAGCTTCCTATGGGGCCACGGAACGCTGTATTGGGTGGGGGAGACGCATGTGGACACCGCCACTGGGGCCTTCGGTGGAGGTCCCTGTAGGGGCCACGGAACGCTGTGCTGAGTGAGGGAAACGCATATGGGCACCGCGATTGCCTTCGGTGGAGCTGCCTATGGGGCCACGGAGCGCTGTGCTGGGTGGGGCAGACGCATGTGGACACCGCCACTGGGGCATTCGGTGGAGCTCTCAGTGGGGCCACGAAACGCTGTGCTGGGTGGGGGAGATGCATGTGGACACCGCCACTGGGTCCACGACACGCTGTGCTGGGTGGGGGAGACTCATGTGGACACCGCCACTGGGGCCTTCGGTGGAGATCCGTTGTGGGCCACGACACGCTGTGCTGGGTAGGGGAAACGCATGTGGAAACGTTGTGCTGGGTGGGGGGGGGCGCATGTGGACACCGCCACTGGGACCTTCGGTGGAGTTCCCTTTGGGGGCAACGAAACGTTGTGCTGGGTGGGGGAGACGCATGTGGACACCGCCACTGGTGCATTCGGGCGAGCTCCCTAGGGGGCCACGACACGCTGTGCTGGGTGGGGGGGGGACGCATATGGACACCGCCACTGGGGCGGCATTCATTCGGTGGAGTTCCCTTTGGGGCCACGAAGCGCTGTACTGGGCGGGGGAAACGCACGTGAACACCGCCACTGGGGCATCCGGTGGAGCTCCCCATGGTGATGATGACGACAACGAAGACATGCAGAGGGCAGAGGCAGGGATGGGAGGACGGAGGAGGTGGAGCAGGGAGCATAGGAACGAATGAGGGAAAAAGGGAGGGAAGTAGGGAACGCGGGGACCGTCCCCACAAAACGAGGACCAACACCACAGGTTGGTTGGGAAAAACCTCCCCCGACTATTTTTGACTATATTTGAATCTTCCTCCTGTAGAGGGACACGCCCGACTTAACTCGACCTGCATTATTCCCCCATTTCCTCCACCGCTCGACCAACAACCAACAGGCGACACCGCCGCGCCGGCGTCCCTCCACGCTGGCGCTGCGGCCCACCGGGCGCCGCAGCGCAGTGCCGCGCAGAAGCCCGCGCTGGATGCCCTGGCAGAAGATGGGCCCCCTGGGGCCGCAGGCGGAGTGGCGCCGTTTGCTTTAAGTCGGGCATGTCCCTCTCCAGGCGGAATATGCAAAACAGAACAATATAACATTGGTCGGGGACAATGTTTCGAGCATTTGTTTGGCATGTTTGGAGTATGGTTTGACTAGTTGGTCTTTCGTCCAAAATCCCCCCGTAGGGGGACAGGCCCGACCTACCGTTCGTTCTCTGGTCCAGCCGCGGCATCCCCGCCCTCTGTTTCACGTTCGTGGCCAACTGCTCCTCTACCCGTGCGCCCCCCCTCCCCCAGTCCGCCCCTGCCCCCGCTCCGCCCGCCCCTCGAGACCCGAGGAGCGAGGCTGAAACGGCCTGCGACCGAGCTGCCGCGCGCCGCACGGGTCGGGGCAAGACACGCGCCGAGAGCCCGACAGCGGCGCCGCAGTCGGGCTGCAGCAGGCATTCCCGGCCGTCCTGTGGTGTTGGGTCCTCGCTTTGAAAAGACAGCGCCCCGCGTTCCTCCACTCGTCCGCCTGCTCCTCCTTCCTCCCTCCTCCCTCCTCCCTCCTCCGCAGTTCGCATGCGGTTCCTGCGCCCAGAACAACGCTTCGTGGCCCCAGAGGGAGCTCCACGGATGACGATACCCACCACTGCGGCACTCAGAACTGCAGAAGGTTGGCTTCTTCGCCAAGCTAATCCCACCAGCCCTCTGGGCGTGGGTGGTTTAAGGCGGTTCCTCTTCCAACCCCCATTTCTTCCCCCTCGGGGAGGGGGGTTATCACTGTTCCCTATTAGTAATCACCCCTTCCCCCAAGCGACTGCTAGCCAACCCGGAACCATGAGGGCACCCCCCCATCCCTTCTACAAAAACCATACAAAACTCATTCTGCCTCCAAATTCGGAGCATGCGCAGCCAACCCGATGCGGCCTCCCCCCACCACCACTGACAAAAATTAACCGGACGAAGGACCCAACCATACGTAATTGCGAACACCGCAATTGTGGATATATTC